AGAGACTTTTAGCATGCAATCTTTTAAACTTATTGCACATGAATGATGACATGATCAGAAATTGATACTCACAGCAGGCTGGCTGTCAGCCAGGTGCAAGTCAAAGTCCATGATTTGTTCTTGTTCACATTTCAACTCATCTGTTAAGAGTTTGATTAGAGTTGACTGATGAGAATTGCTCTAAAGAAATAAATGAGTAAATTCAGTGCCATAATTAAGTAAATAAAGAAACAAATATGTAATGAAGGAATTTATATCTTACAAGGTGCAATACAATCAATCATGTAGTGCGATTGTTGACCCAGGAAAGAATTGTTGTTGGTAACAATGAATTACATATTGGCAACCTGAACAGAAGACATCATCAGCAAGTGTATTACAATTCCCAGGTTGAAACCATTAACTGTACATCATAAATGGATAATTACTCACCCTACATTTTTTTTCCTTGGGTTCTGTGTCACTGATGTCATCTTCAATGGCTGAATTATTCAACAAACTTTCATATACACAAGTTGATAAAATAGGTGCTCTGGAATAAGAGAAAGACAACTTGCTTAAGTTTGTTCAGATATTAATTAATCTACTGATCATGCACCCCATGACTCTGTGTTCATGACCACATCAGCTCATCAAGTAAACGTATTTACAATAATTCTACAATATAAAGCTTTTCCTTTTTAATAAACAAAGAAAACCATTGATCAGCAGATCTGTTTGATGGACTGTTTCTCAAATCACAGTCAAATCACAGTCCAGATAGGCTAATCTTAAAACTATCACTTTTTTCTGCCACTAGAATCTGTGCTCATTTAGCATTGTCTATGTTACAACAACGCTATTCAGATACTCCTGCACTGAACTTGGGCTTTCTGTGGCCCTGAATTAAGTTACTTACATGTGAGTTTCTTTATTTGGTGAGAACTTGTCATTGATGTCACGCTGCAGATGAATTGCCAGATGTGGAATACGCATGATTGGTCTGTCAATGTGAACTAAATGGTGCTGCAATTTATCACCTTTCTGTTGCATGATCAATTCAAACCAGGAAGAAATAGGAAATAATAATGTTAATATGATCAGGTGGAGTCCAATTCAGTTTGTATTCAATGCATCATTATCATCACCAATTTTATTGAAACTTGTATATATGCAAGCAATGCACAAAAAGATTCTTTGTTTTTCTATATTTTCTCTTTTAAGTGATGTCTCAAGGCAGAATCTAATGTTGGAAGTAAATGCTACAGTATAGTACCTTAATCATAATTCTGCCAGCCAATTTCAAATCCCTGTCAAACCAAGTGGCCCAGATTCCTCCTCCATAACATTCCACCCCAACTTGTTGATATCCATTGCTGCTCTTCTTTGAATTTGGCTTCACCTGTTCCAATATTAAGTGTAGTGTTAAAAAATTATGTGCCAGAGTTATTTTCTCTGCTTTCTGATCTGCTCCTCTCTCAACCAATCCACTTATGTCTTTCTCAACATCTCTAACACTGGACAATGTTTTTATTGAGGAAAATGAATAAAGAGGGTAAGTTTCTGAAGAAACTGTGGTGCTACATTTGTGGGAGAGTATAACAGCAAATCAAGTATTATCAACTGAGTTGATAACCTAAATTGGCCGCTATAAAGAGTTTTAAAGCTGGACATTTTGAGTATTAGCCTTTTGTCGGAGTGATTGACAAAGAGCTAAACTCTTTATGGTGGCTAATTTACAATATAAGCTCAGTTGATAACACCTAATTACCCTTTTCATAAAGGCATCGAAGATTGGAGAAATCTACTGCCACTACACAGATTGTCCAACTAAATTTTGATGATCTAGCTCAGCTACAGATTGAAAGCATTGCCATGTTACCATTCCCTAGCCTCCTGTTCCTTCACTTC